TGGGGGGCGAGATTGTTTTGAGAGTTAGTGAGCAAAAAAACCGAAAAAATGTTGAAATTTTGCTGGAGATAAAAGAAAATTTTTCAACATTGGGGGGTCACCCCCCGACCCCCCCCCCCCTGGTCGGGACACCCCTGATTTAGAGCTAATTAATGGATATCTCAATTATTGATTCTTGCATAATAACTTTCACTACTTAAAGTGTGGATATGGGTGTCTATGTGCAATAAGATAATGTCGACATCAAGATATCCACATTCTATATAAAAAAAATATATATTTTAGCTTTACATTAAAAGAATAAGATAATGAGACCACTACTTTCCTTATATTCTGAGTACCTTCTTAAATATATTGTTGTATTCGATTCCCAGATGGAGAAATGACATCTTCAAAAGAGGAATAAACTGAACATAGAGAAAAGATGGTCATGTAGTCGAAAAAGGCTACTTTTATCTGTATGTTTTAGATGGTCGGTGTCATATTTAAACAAACAAATTGAACAAATAAATAAATCGAATGAAAATCAAGAAATCTGTTAATTGTATCATTTTCGAATAACTTAAAATTTTCTGCATATTTTTCAAGTTCTATAATAAAGAAATCATTCATTGATTAATGATGGAATGAAATAATTTTATCAACTTAATGTGAAATTATAGAAATAACTATAAACTTAATAGAATATTTTTTAAAATTATTAGTATATAAAACACTTGATGTAATTCATGTGTTCATGAAAGATATAGGAATATAATTAAAAAAATCTTATCATTGAGATACTAGTAAAATATGTTGAACAATTTCAATAAAGATTTAGTGCAGAGGTGCAGAATCTTCCTCATGCGCCCCCGCGCGAGGGGGGAAATTTTTTGAAAAACTCAAATAATAGGGAAATTTTGGAAAAACTCGCTGGCCAAAAAAATACAGTGGGGAAATTTTTCAAAAAACTTTTTTGCGTGGGGGGAAAATTTTTGGATTTTTGGAAAATTCTGCACCTCTGATTTAGTGATACTTTGATTTGAATCATTTTATGGCTATGGAATCATTCTTTCTTTGTTTTATTAACATTTATAAAGAAATTTTTGAATACGTTTGAATTCACAGAACAACATATTTTGTTTGAGATGTAACAAAGAACAAGAAAAACAAAACAATACGAAAAAGTGTAATAGGATCAATCAAGTTTTAAGTCTGATCGACCTATATAACAGATGTTGAAAAGATAGTCTTATGTAAGATTTTTGTAGTAAGAAATTTTCTCTATTAAATAATATAGAACTTAAAAAGAGATTCTGATAATTTCACATAAATAAACTGATCAAATATTTTCTTAGTAAATTCTGTAGAAAAAGGAAACTTATCAGCGTTTATTGAAGATATGTTCAGTGTGTTTTTTAAAATTTATCATAGATAAATCAGAATGAACTCAAATTTTAGATGTATTCGTTTCTTACTTTTCTATTTTCATTTGAAATCATAAAATAGAAGAGTCAAAGTTCTCGAAAATATGAATCTGCTAAAAGATATTCGATTTTCTCATGAATCCTTTTTTATAAATCCTAAATAATTGTATAACATGAAAAGAAAAAGGAAATTTTTCGTTTCATTTTTTTTTTATTCTAGTGGCATTTTTATCTGGTGTTCGCAATGAAAAAAATAGGAATTTGTCAGAGAAAATTTTCGATCGTATGAAAAAAGAGTTTTCTGATGTGAAAAATTCCTTGGTACCTGCTTCAATCCTTCTTGCTAATGTTTATGCAGCATCAGGTGATAGTGAAAAAGCATCAGACATTAAAGATCATTTATATCGATCAGGTGCAAAGAGGAAAATCGGTATAACAGTGACTGAACTCAATGGAAAGTTGCTAGTAAGTCTGAATATAGTGTTCAAATAAAAATATTCGAAATAATTTTCTTTGATTATTTTAGCAATTTTGTGCTCATGATCAATCTCATCCTCGATCAGTTGATATTTATGCTGAAATTAATCGAATATCAAAGGAATTAATTGAACATGGTCATGAGTACGATGCAAGTTGGATTGTACGCTCAATTAGACCCGATGAAACAATTCAATCGATTCTATGCGGACATAGTGAACGATTAGCTATAGCAGTTCATTTTATCGACAATCAAAAGCCCAAACGAATTCAAATGACAAAAAATCTTCGCATTTGTGGTGATTGTCGTATGTAATAAATTTACTTTTTTTTTTGCTTTTGTCATCTTATTGTTTTTTTGTTTTTTCATAGACCAAGCAACGAAATTAATTGCTGCTATTCGTCAATGTCACATTATTGTCCGCGATGCCAATCGTATTCATCATTTTCACCCTAATGGACAATGCTCATGTCAAGATTATTTTTAGAATAAAATTTTTTGCCATGATCATTTTCACATTTTTAAATGTAAAACATAATACAGCTATTGTTGCTACGTAACCTTGTGAGATTATTCATTCTTTCTAAGGTGCGGGAAAGGCAAAAATCGAGTGGATTTTTTTTCTCATTCATTTA